GATAAGAGTTGACGCTACTTAGGAGATAAATCCCAAGATAAGTCAAAATACTCCTCAAGAACTCAAGGAAAAGAAATTGCCACAACAATATTCTTGAATTTACTACTATCAAAGTTGTCTTCCAAACAAAATAATAGCAAGGATATTTATACACTTTAGCCAACCCCTACATCAATGGCTTTTAAGTTCAAAATGAGCTATTCTAGTGCTATACTAGCTTAAAAGATGCAACTAGCCACAAGACTAGGATAACTAAGTCAAATAGGTTTTATGAAAAACTAAATTCTAAATGAATTTAGGATTTATAAGCCTAATATGGACTTTACAAATTAAATAGCATAGGGACGGTCTAAAATAGTCTTAAACTTTTATTTGCTAGAAAAAATACTCGATTTATAAGGTATGAACCTCCACTTGATCTTTATTCTTCAAATTTATGCCTGAATCAGATTAACCACCTTCAATTCAACTCCATCTTCATATTCTTGATTAGCTTCACTTACTCCTTTAATAAGGCCATTCAAAGCTTCATGAAATATCTTCGCTCTTGCTCTCGTCATTGAACCTCCCAAGGTTTGCAAAGGATCTGTTTCTTTGTTCTCATCCTCATAGTTGTCCTCAACAACTTTCCCCTAGAACCCAAGGGAGCATGTCAATGCCATTGTCACAAGGAGTGGGAAGATTCTTAGGGAGCCATCTCTTCTAATTGAAACATCAATTCCAAATAAAATTGTTGTTGTGAAGATTGAGGAGAAACTTGAGGAGGAAGAAGTTGAACCAGCTGTCTTGACACCAAAACCACAAAGTCATGATGAGGTAGAGAAGCCCGTGAGAAGGTATGAACCACCCTTTCCCTTTCCTCAAAAATTTCAAAAGCAAGCAAAAGAGAGTAGATGGAAAAAGTTCTTGGAGGTGGTAGAGAATTTGAAAGTTTCAATTCCTTTACTTGATTTGTTTTCTCAAGTTCCATCTTATGGAAAATTTTGAGGGATATTCTTGCTAAGAAGAGGAAATATGGGGAGCAAAAGATGATTGCTATGGCACAAGAGTACTGGGCTTTGACACCTGGTATAGGAAAAAATGTATTTAAACATAGATATCCGAGGAAAATCACAATCCCTTGTCTTATTGGAGGCCGTCCGATTAAAGGATCCCTTTGTGATCTGGAGTCAGTGTTAGTGTTATGCCTCTATCTCTTTGGCAAAAGTTGAAATTGGGAGATCCAAACCCGATTCGACTTACATTGCAATTCGTTGATCAGTCCACTACGAGCCCCTATTGGAATTCTTGAGGATGTCCAATCCCTGTGGACAAGTATTTTGTGCCTTGTGATTTTATTGTGATAGCTACTCAAGAGAATTCTGATATTCTAATCATTTTGGGGAGACCTTTCTTGGACACAACTGGAGCACTAATTGATGCAAGAAATGGATCAATGATCTTAGATTTTGGGGAAGAAAAAGTGGAATGCAATGTTCTGATGAGCAAAAGTTACATAGGGTTAGAGAATGCAACATGCTCTACACCATGGCTTTTGATGAGGATAACCTTACGGATCAACCGGGTTGAGCACTCCATAATGAGGTTACGTCGAGCTAGCGATGTTGTTCTATTGGCCGTTCGACCACCTGGTGGGAGATGGTATTTACCTAGTCGAAGCCCTGTCCCACCTTCTGACAGGCTTGCAAGTAGCAATTACGAGCCATCTTTTGATCACATCGCACCACCCCGAAGCCGGTCGGTGTGCAAAACTTCATGCACAAGTGCTCGATGGAAATCAAGGCGCCGAAGTCCTCCAAGCCTGGTCGGCCAAGTATAATGTTGTGCGCACATTCCCGAGCAAGCACTACAAATTCCATCTCCAACTTCCTTACATGGGGCTAGGTGCCCATCTCTACCATTAATGAAGTACAACCCTCAGCCTCGATGGCATCACCTGTGAAACCAGCCAGAGGGGTCTTGACTGGCCGTAGTTGCTCCCTAGGCAGCCCCAATTTCTGGAAAGCTTCCAGGTACTACAGATTGACATTACTGCCCGTATCGACCAGTACTCGACGAATGACCAACCCCTAGATGTCCATGGCGCCCACCAAAGCGTCTCGATGGGGGGTAGGGCCCCTAGGTAGGTCGTCGTCTGTGAAGACGATCGGCTCCCTACAGGCTTTCTTTCCATCCGACTCCTGGAAGGTTATTACTCCCACGTATAACTGTCTAGCCCGAGCCTTTCGGGCTCTCGCCGATTCACCACCTTCGTGGCCGCCCACTATCATATTGATTACCGGCTTGTGCTTCCAATTCTTATCAGTGTCTTCCTCTTGCATGAGTTGTTTACCCTTGTCCGTGGCCTTCGAGGCAGGTCGGGCAGGCGCTTCTTTCTGCCAGGGCGGACCTAGTCTGCCCCACTAGTTGGGAGGTAGTGTCCGACTGCGCTTTATGAGCGCCTCGATTTCATCCTTAAGGACCTCACATTCCTCCGTGGTGTGAGTGTTTGTGCGGTGGTATCTGCAATAAGGGGCGGCGTTCGTACTGACCACCTGTGGTTTATCGCCAGGTCGGATGGGTGGAGGTGGAGGTAGCTGGTTGTGGACTTCATGGACGGGCTGTGCCATCGGTCGATAGGCAGGAGCTCCCAGCCGGTCTTGTACCCAGCAAGCTCTCACACGAACACCCCTGCGTCCTCTATTCTGCCGTCATGGGAATTATTCGCCTGGAGCCGCTTATGGGAAGACGCTTCCTGTTTGGGCTTTTGTCTGACCGCCAATTGGTTGGCTCTCTAGATAGCCTTAGCATATGTCTTGGGATTCTCATCCCGTAACTTATTGTAATGCCCGTTCGATCGCAAGGACTCAATGAAGAACATCAAGGTTGTCTGATCGTCTAAACCATCGACCGCCTGTGCTAAGTCCGAGACAAACTTCTTGGGCTTCATGCTTTCGGTAAAGTGCGTAAAAAACTGGTGTGCTAATTCCTTAAAATTGTTGATCGAACCTGGGGGAAGCCTGAGGAACCATCGTTGGGCGGGCCCAACCAAGGTTGGGTAAAACACTCGACAGATCATGGGAGCGTTTGCACGATAACTTGCATCTTGGCCTGGAAACTGATGATATGTCACGTGGGTCTCTCGTTCCATCATAGGTAGGGTGGTCGGGTAACTTAAACCCCGCCGATACCCTGTTTGCCTGCACCTCTACGGAAAAGAAAGACGCAGTCAGTCTGCTGTTGGTCATCTGCCTATTTTTCCCCTCAATCTTTTACCGAAGCTCTTGGACCGCGGTGACCAAGTCGGCCATCTCGGGGTTGGGCTGTTCTTGGAACATAGACGATTCCCCCATACCATTAGCGGCATCTCGCCTGTGCCGGGTAGCTATTCTTCTCTGGATGACGGCTCGTGGCTGCTCTCTTCCCCTCCTGACTGACTGAGCAGAGGAGCGTTGCCCGGCTCGACCGCCCAACCAATCCATAACTGACTGTGTGGGAGATACAGGGTCGAGCCGTGAATGCAACGAACGGTGGGCACGCGGGTTTATGGGCGAGTGCTTCTTGGAGCGCATCGAACATTCATAAACTTCATCGCGGTTTTCCATGGGTTATTTGAATATCTTCTTTGTCAACAAATCTTCCCCAAGCAGTTAATATAATTGGCTTCAAACTATTTTATTTTTTACTTTTTTTTCCATGTTATTAATAGAATACTTGGTAAATAAATATATAACATTATTTTGTATTATAAGTTTGATATTTAATTACAAGATAGTGGCCCTGTTTGGTAAATGGCTATTAGCTGTTAGTTGATTTGGTTAATTAGAGAGCATAACTAGTTAATAATTGACACCCCGAGTTTTCCTCGCGGTTTAAATGTCAAAAGATTGTGGGATGAATCCCGAGTATATTGTTCTCAAGGGCTGACAAATTGGAAGAGTCACAAGGCATTGAGCTTAAGGGAGGTTATTGCCAATCATGCACCCCGTCACGTGTTTGTGCATGATTATGTCGAATTGTAGCACGCAAAAGGAATGAAACATGAAACTAATTTAAAGATAAAAACTAGGATATGATTGCTCATCTCTCATGATGCTTTTAGGATCATTAGTCTAGATCGTGATATCACGAAAGTAGAATTGTGTGAAGACGTGTTAAGTCCTTTCACCTTTTGGTATTCTAGGATTCCTCAATGCTTAGAACACTTGTCGGGTGTCTATGTACCTAAGAGTCATTTCTTCGAACACTTGGCCTACTTTTCATCCTTAGTTGCATCCCCCCGGATATTGAACTAGGAAATGCCAAAGAAATGAATCACCAAGAAATCTAGCAACTCAATGCTTAGATTCACTCATAGAGTTGGCCGGACTCCAAAGAAACACACAAAGCATTCTATTGGTTTTACGGCCTTTGGTAGCCGTTCGGGGGGCTAACACTACCGTAAAATACTTAGGGTGTTTTATGAGTGAAAGACTCAAAGTAGCTGAGAGAATAATGTAATATTATTTCTCTAGAGTTTCAGCCGTTCAACCCTTTACACAGTGATCCCGTGGGGATATTTATACATGGGTACAAGATTCCTACAAGGAAAGTAGGGCTGACGTGGAGCCAAATCAGTTAAGGAATCCGACTTCCTTGATGCCATAAATACCTAAGTTAATAAAGGAAGCTGCTTGTATTAAATGAAGAAAGAAATATCAGAGAAATATACTTTTAACCACCTCTGGGCGAGCATCCAGCCGAGAACACCTTGACTGCCTAGGAGATGGCTTGAGGAGGGGCCGTGATACTTGGGCGAGGACACATCGCCCGCGGAGCCTGGTAGCTTTGCGGAATCCCGAAAGCGTATCCGGTCGGGGACACGCCGACTACCGAGGATGGTCGCCCAACCGAGTCTCACGTGTGAACCCAGCCGAGGACAGACCGGTTACTGAGCCTAGTCTCTTTACCAAGCCGGCCAACCTCCGTCTAGGTATGCGTCTGTCTTCATGGACGAGTGGTTGCTAAGGATGACTGGCTACGATCTCCAAGCGTCTCGTGTGACAGACGGGAACCGCGGATGTCGTCTAACTTGCTAAGTATCAGGCCATGCTCGAACCTGACTCCTTGCCTCACACTACAGATCGGGTGTCCGATTCGGGGTATCTATCACATTCAATGGCAACACAATTCATAATCAATAAGAATATCATATCATACAATCACAATATCAAGACCTAATTAGGAAATGTTTCTCACTTTAGCATCATGATTAGAGATTCACATTCCTAATCCTATTTAGCCCTAGCCACACATAGCTAATTAGATGAACATTGCAAATCAAAGGAAGAGATAACAATCAAGATATGAAAAAGGAATTGAAATTGAAAAGCAATAAATTGTACCACTTGATGTCTTCTCCTAAAATGATCTTCAAGCTATGAGACTAGAAATGGTCTGCAAAATTTAGAGAGAAAAACTACAAGCACTAACCTAATGTGCTTTCTAAGAATGAAATCTCCAAAATGATTGCTCTCCCCCACTAGGCTTACGCCCAATGCTTCAAGTAATCCGGATTTCCGCCCCACGCACTAATCCACTCGCGTGGATCGGTCACTTAAATTCCTTCTCGCTTTTTCCCACGCGCGTGGAAGTGGTGCGTGGATCTCTCTATTTTCTCCTCCACGTACGTTCCCACGCACGTGGGACCATGCGTGGATCTTTTTGTTTTGCTCCCACGTGCGTTGATTGCTCCGGCACAACTCCGGCTTTTGCCTTATCCTTGTGATGCTCCTTTCGTGCTCCCAAACCTTCGTTTTTCTCTAAAAACCTTCCTAAATCATAGAAACACAAAGCAACATGGTGTTTTGTGGCACATTAGCAAATATAAGCGTAAGCAACCATAAATCGTGTACAAAGGGTATCAATCAAGTATAAAATGCCCTCTTTAAGACCCCAAAATATGTGTGTCTTTTGGCACTTATGAATAACATTGGCTGATTGTAGAAGGGTGTTTGGTAAATTAGATGTTAGGTGATAGCTGTTTGGTATAATTTCTTTTCTCAAAAAACTAATTGAAAAAGTTGCTTTGAGTAGCTTTTTGAATTTTAGCATTTTGGAGTTACAACAAGCTAATTAACCAAACACTTATATTGATTTTTTAACCAGTTAAAGAGCTAATAGTGGTCAAATAAGCCAAAATTCGCCTATAGGCTAACTATTTTACCAAACAGAGCTAGTGTAAAAAGAAGACAATGAACAATGTAGTGAATATAATTAATTAATAATTTGAAGGTAATGAATCTTTGCATGGTAGAAAATAAAGACAGTATAACTAATGAAATTATATCTCTTTTTAAAATTTTTGATAATGAATCAATTTTTTTTTTTTTAATAAAGGCATTGTAGACATCGAATTCTAAATTAAAGAAATGCATATGAATTTGGGGTAAGAAATGCATATGAATTAATTTTTTGTTGTAGCTACTAATTTATTTAATTTAATAAGAATAATAGAGTAAGGTTCTTATTTTTCAATAATATCTAAACACATAATAAGTCTCAATCAGAGTTATATCCCTAATTTATGTCCATATTTTTAATGCTAATCATTTTGTACATTGTGCTTTTAGAGTTGTACTATATAATTTTTTGAACAAAAATACTCATACCGTTATAATTTCGGTCATCTTTTCTATTATTGTTACTGTGCACATGCATCCACCATACATTTTCTTATATTATTTAATGATAATAATATTTGTAAACATTATATATTGGATTATTATAATAAATAAATTTCATTTTATATAGATTTCAATTTATAGGGATTGGTTAGTTATTTTAAAAAATATAAATATTGGGCATATATTTTTGCTCATCGCACATAGAAATTAAAAGACTAGTACTCTAACATATTCGTAGTATATGTTCAACAATTATGCAAACTATGATAAGGATGAGATTCGAACCTAAGACCTTTCTTATAGAAATTAATGGGTAAGTTAAAAGTTAACAGAATATTCCGTAATTAAAGTTTATACTAATGCGATGTGGGTTATTTAAGGGAAGAAAATAATATAATAGAGGTAAAGAAGGAAAATCATAAAAAAAAATACTAAAATCAAAAGAATCTGAACCATTCATTTTATCAAATAATTTGACGGATATTTTTTAGTTCCTGTTATAGGATTAACTTATTGATTCTTCTTCCAAAAGGCTGAACCCCAACCCTAAATAACTTATTGATTCTTATTAGTATGGTAGATAGATATATAGATGGATATTCCTTCCCTTATCTTGAAACAAAATTACATCAAATTTTGCTTTCTTTCTTATGTTTGATACGATAACATATATAGTTCAATTCATTTATGATCTTCAATTCTTGTACAAATTTTTGAAGGTAGCACTGTCCTGACAACAACTGAGCTTCAATTCTTACACTTCTTGTATTGAGTTAAGATCAGAAAATAATCTGTAGCCGATAACAATTTATGAAGTATATCTACAAAATAAAAACATTTTTTTTTAAATACTTATGATTCTTTATTAGATAGTATCTGTTCTATACTTTCTCAAACATTTTCAGCCCAAAGAATTTAAACCACCATCACCAAGTTTCGAACCTTTGACCATCCAATTGGATGGATAATCGGGATGTCATCACACTACATGGCAGTTGGAAAATAAAAACATTAGTATAGCTTGCATCTGTACAAACCTTTTTCAATCATTTTGATGCGCAATAGAGATGGAGAAAATGGAATATTTCATAGTATTCTACGGCATAAGCTTGTATGTACTGAACAGAGATACGAAATTGTTGCTATAAGAGTAGCACACTAGTCACACATTCACCATGGTTGTTAAAATTGCTAGGCACTCGGGGGCGCCTAGTATAGGTCGCGATTAATCAGCGCCTGTGTATTTTTTATTTTATTTAATATTTTTTAAAAATTTTGTTTTAAATTTTAAAATTTTTTAATACTTGATAATTATAAACTATTTAATATTTTAATAGTTAATACTATAATATTAAATATTAACCTAAAATACACCTAGAGTTTAATTTGAACCATTTAGGGTTATTTCAATCAAAACGATGTCGTTTTGAGTGAAATAACTCATTTATAAAAGAAAGTGAACAATAGCTAATCGGTCTACTAGGAGGCCTAATCAGTGCCTAGGAGGCCTAGTCGATGCTTAAGAGGCCCAGGTGGCGCTTAGGCGATACGCTAGACGCCAATTAATTAGTGCATAGGTGAGATTTTTGCAACACTGACATTCACACACTTGATACCCATTACGAGAGTATTTTGGATGTTAAGGAGAATCTATGCCTTGTGTTCTTGTTTGGGAAACTTTGGATTGAATTGCTATGAGAATGGTGTTCAATGTGAGGTTGCAAGTCCAAATAGCTACGAGAGTGGTATTTGGACACTTTTGTGCATCTTACTTACCCTATGCATTGATTTGATTCCCTAATCCTTAATAGAATATTTGACATCTTAGCTTGAATATAATATAATCAGCCCCTCTCAAAAAAAAATAATAATAATATAATCAGCCAAATCCCAGTCATCTATTTTACTTGTCTTATTTTTTAGTTGCTGAATCATATCAACCAAATGACCTAGCTTCTAAAAGGCCGGGTAGTTTTAGCTTGTAGTGCTTAACTCCACTTTGCATCATTTCCTAACATTACAAGAGTCATCTCTTGTGGAACGACATCTTAACTCTATACTATAATTTGATACTTGATAGTTGTGTAAAACCATCTTATCAAAAATCAAAGGAAAGAGATGAATAAGAAAACTTCTCTTGGAAATGGAAATGAATAAGAAATATACAATAATCTATGCTAGTCGAGATTGCAATGTTCTTGAGCTTGGAAATGGAAATGAATAAGAAATATACAATAATCTAAGCTAGTCTAGAACTAAACCTACCTAGGGAATGAAAGGTAGAAGAATGTTGTGTTTTTTCTATAAAGAGTTCTCCCTTTTTAACAAAGTAAAATGTCTTTAAATATGTTGTCGAGGTTGGGCACGGGCTCGGTCGAACTCGTGCCTAGCTATAAGACGCCACTGGATTGTGGGCATGGAAGTGCCACGGGCATGCCTATACCCATGCCCACCAGATAGAATGCAAAATGCATTCAACCAAGTCCTGGCCTTTTGTTTTACTGTCTTATTTGTCATTTGCTTAATCATATCAATGAAACCTATTAACGATAGGCCTATATGCTAGCTTAAAAAAAGAGTAGTTTTAATTTGTGCTTAACTCCAGTTTGCATCATTTCCTAACATTACAAGAGTCATTTCTAATGGAACGATATCTTAACACTATAGTGTAATTTGATAGTCGTCGGTTAAAAAACAATCATATCACGTAGTTAGTGAAGCACTCAAATCTCACCACTCCTATCTTCCTTTTAAAAATTATTATGAGTGCATGTGCTTTCTAGACTTTTTGTAAGTTGATGAATACCAGTGTGTTGGTCCCGGTAGGGTCGAAAGAGAGTCTAGAGGGGGGGGGGGGGGGGTGAATAGACTCTGATCGATTTTTCAAAGTTAATCCTTTCGGAGTGATGCACAACGGAATAAAGGTTGCGACTTACTTATACTTTGCACACTTTTGTTAGGAGCTCTTAACGTTTGGTCGATATGATATGCAATGCACGAAAGGTAAAGAGCAGTATTTAAAGAGATATGGAGAGAGAGATTTTTATAGTGGTTTGGCTGTTAACAGAGCCTACTCCACTCTTCTTTCACAACTCGTGAAAGGGTTTGCACTATCACTCCTAGTATAAACTACTTCAAGCTGGCTTCCTTGATCACTAAGCCGGACAACCACTTGATAGGTTTTTCTACTCCTCGAGTTTACTCCGCCTCTATCAACTTCTTCCTCAGAGTTGAGTGTTGGAAAGATGATGTTGTGTTTCTCCAGCAGGTTGAAGCCTTGTCTTGATATCTGGATGAATCTTCACGTGGAAAAGATGCAAGACTACTTCAAATTTTGTGAAGTGTGGATGATGGATGAGCCTTTTGAAAACTTCACAAATACACTGGTTATGAAAAGCTTTTCGAGATGAAACTGTTTGAAGAGCTTTTCTTTGGATAGCAATAGTTGAATAACCAGCACCTTCTTCAATGGTGAAGAGATGTATTTATAGGAGGGGAAAAATTCATCCGTTGGAGGGGGATGAAGATTTCAAACCTATTAACTAGTGTGTATTGACCAGTGGGCATAGAGCATTTAATGTAACTTGTACTGTGTAGCCGTTGGTGTCAAAAGCATTATGGCTTTTGTCATTGTTCTCTGACAAGATGGTACAAGTCTTTTAATGCTCATTGTCTTTTGTGAAAATCATTCCTAGGACACCTTTTGTCTCGAATGATTGCCCATCTTTTAGTCATAGACAACATTCTTATTGCTTCACTTAATGAAGGTTGTCCTTACAAGTTTGACTTAAACTTGTTTTCTTAGAGAGGTTCTTCGAAAGATTATCATTATCTTCAACCTTTCTCTTAGACGAGAGATCCTTCTTGTAATATGATGCTTATCAGAGAGTTGGACCTTCATCTTTCGTCTTCAACGATTTCTCGTATGTCTTGTTGTCTTCATGTCTTCAAGTAGACCCATTATGCTAGCCTCAAACTAAGATTCGTACACTACATAGTGTGAATCATTTGTTGAGTTACAACAACTTTCGTTTGTAACAAAAGTCCTAACTACGAAAGGAAAAATAGGGGTCAACAATCCTAGTGAGTTTGGTATCATCAAAATCTAATTACACTTGTTCCTAACACAGTGTTGCAAAAATCCCGCCTAGCACCGATTAATCGGCGCTAGGCGCTGGTGGGCCGCCTAGCATATCACCATAATCGGTGGTCTAGGTGGCCGGCTAGGCTGCCTAAGTGCCGCCCAGGCTGCTTAGGCGCTGACCGCCTAGGTCTCCTAGGCGCCGCCTAGGCCTCCTAGGAACCGACTAGGTCGCCTAGGCACCGATTAGGCCGCCTAGGCACCGATTAGGTTGCCTAGTCAACCGATTAGCTATTGTTCATTTTTTTTTAAAGGTTATTTCACTCAAA